TAATCGTTAATTTAGCACCAGAGAGAGAGAGAGAGAGAGAGAGAGAGAGAGAGAGAGAGAGAGAGAAGAGGGGGAGAGAGAAAGAAGAAAAAACTAGGCTTTTCTGATAAGTTAGCAACAAGACGCGGACGGGAGAGTCTTTTATAGATGTAAATAATGAATAAAGCACTGGGGAGGTTCGCATACGGCCGACAGCGCGAGAAGTACGAGTGGGTGGATGATGACGTGACACCTAAAGCGCGAAGTGTTTCCCCTTGTGGATTATCAGCTCCGCGGAATTAACTGAGCTGTGAGAGATAATAGGAACGTTTCAAACGTTCCTCTGCGAAGTCACTCTCACTAGGCTTCGCGACTGCATTGGATCTTGATACGCTTTGCTCTCAATGCCACCTATGATTCGCACGAAAACGCGCTCCGGTGAAATTCAAGCGAGAGAAAGCAGTTGTAACGCATATGGCGTGTTGATATCGCAATTTACTGCGACTTTAATTCGCGTGTAAAGCCGTCTCGCGCGAAACAAATATGAAGATAATTTCAGCTCGAGTTCGCGAGTACCATGCATGGCGTATTTTGGTCGTGAGCGTAATTTCGCTCTTGGAAGTGTTTTTTGTTTCTCGAATGGGGGTTTTCGTTAGACGAAAACTTACAACGTATCGTGAGTAAGTAATCAAGCGCGTTGCTCGCGTATCGACATTTAAAGTGCTTGGCGAACCAACATTTGACGAGTGCCGATGCGAGTGAGGAAGCTCCAGACGGCACGAAGGACGTCATCCCCTTTAGAAGGGCTGCAGACAGACGAACCCTCCAAGCTCCCTTTCCCCACCTTCGCCTCATCGCCATAGCAACCCCTTGCATTCAGGAGCCAGACTAACCAACCGACCGATCTCTGCCCCTCGTGTCGTCTCGCTCTTCACGCTGCTGAAATACCCACACAAAACATAGCTCCACTCTCTCGGCCTCCCCCTCGCGTCTCAATACGGACCGTAGCAGGACGATCTTGTGAATTGAACGGCGAATCGGCGCAAAAGTGCTATCGGCTACTTCGCAAATGAGGTCAAAACACCCTCTGCCTCGGCGTTTCCATCAGAAAATTTCTCGCGACCGCTGCTTAATAACCTCCAATCGGCGCTCGAGTTTCCCTCGGAGCGGTTATTCAAATTGAAAATCGCGGAGGATTATACGGGGACTGCTGCGTACGGTAAAAGTATCGCGAAGAATAGTCTAGATAATCTCGCAGTCTCGCGCTGCTCCTCCTAAGTTGGCAGGAATTCAGGAACGAATCTACGTAGCGAACAATAAAACTTGGATGTACAACCGTTGGCTGTCGAGAAAGAAAGAGAAAGAGAGAGTAGCGGCGGAGGGAAATTTTGCCAGGAAATATTAATCGCAACGTTTTAGAGACGTGTGTCACGGGCAGTACAGGATTTTAATTAGCGCAAGGCGTCTCTAGCTTCCACTGGCGAAGCCAGTGAGAAATTATTAACTACTTATTCCTTGACAAGTCCGTCCCTGCGAGCAATTCGAGACCCCCGCATGTACCCCTCTCGGTAATTGAGCAATTTCTTGGGCATAACAGGGAACATGGTAATTCTTGCGTTTTCGCACAATACAGAATGGACTCTATATCGTCTCGTTGTGGTGATCGCGGCCCGAGAGCTCGTCAGACAACTCAGCGGGCCGAATGATCGCCACTCATTCCCGAAATTGTCCCCGTCGTGCAATTTTTCCGTCGCCTCGGCTGTGTCGAATTCGACGCGACACGCAGGTGGAAACTTGGCGTCCGCGACGATCCGGCCGTTTAAAGTCCACGACGTCGCGTCTACTCCACGTCAGTCGCGTACGTCGACGGTGACGGTCCCCGAGGGATTTCCACGCGGTGAGGAACACCTCTGAGAAAGTTTGATCGCGCACGCAGAGTAAGCGAGTCAGCCGATCAGTCGGTAGCAGTGGATTAGCTTGTAGTCTCGTGGAAAAGCGCGCAGGCAATTTCGCCGTGAAAAATGAAAGTACTTCCGCTGCTCGTTACGTTCGTGGCTTTAATCGCCGGCCAGGATACGAGAACCGTGGTATACCCGTCCAACGGAAATGGCTCGTCCTCGGTAGAGATAGGGGGTAAGATCGAGCCGGTGCCTCAGCCGGATATGACGCTCAGGGTGGTCTCTGCGAGCCTCTTGCCGCCGCAGCTGCCGCCGCCGCCGCCGCAGCCGCAGCCGCAGCCGATGTTGCCCTCGGATTACTTTTTCCCCGGTAAAGATTTTTCTATTTTAGTTACGCTAAGACGGCGTGTCGTTTGATCACTTATCCTTTGTGCGCGGCTATAATCGAGCAACTAACGTGACGCGCCTGGATCGTCGCATTAAACCCACAAAGCCGAGAGATCATTTTGAAATTGGAGTATGTCGGTCGGTCGTACTCGTTTATTAAAACGTCATCGTGCCGAGGTGAGAAAAAAGAAAGAAAGAAAAGAAAAGAGAAGGAAAATATAATCCACGCAAGGCGTGAAAAATTCGCTCGCTCTTGATTTTTCTGAACAACAAACTTCGCAAGCTCGTTTCTCGTTGTAGGTCAGCGGCGCGGTCTGATTACACAGATAAACTTTGAAGATATATATTCGCAATTTCAGCTGTCTTTCTCTCTCTTTCTTCGTGATATATACGCACCACTGATGTTTCCCTCCATTCCTCAAAAAAATGTTTCAGCGCCTCAAAGAGCGTTTTTGCATCATAGAAGCGAAAACGTGCCGTATGGATACGAGTATCCTAATATTGGATATCCGGTGGCGCAGGCGGTGGAACACTCCATCGTGCCGTCGTCGAAACAGCTCGTAATAGTCAGTTTTATCGGACTGTTGTTGCTGTTGGCGATTATACAGAACACGCTGAGCTCCGTTAAGCGGAAAGACGCGATAATGGATTTGTTAGCGTCCAGGCAAAAGCGGGATGTCTACGCAACGCGCGATTTCGGGTCCGTGGTATGTTATCCCATTCCGATTTGACTGGGTCAAAGGGGGAGGGGATCCTCCCCTGTCGAGAGAATTCCTCCGGGATTTGATCCGATAAAGTTGTCACGCGAAACGATCACACGTGGGAGAACTCGTTAAAAATGAAATTTCCCGGCGCAAAATTCCGCGCTCGATTCGAGAAAAATAAATATATAAATCCACGAGACGATAAATTCTTCATCGCTCAGATCGCGAGTACTCGGTTGAATTCGCCCCGTGTGAACTCGGAAATTCACCCACCTTAATGAAACCCCTTTGTTCCTGCTGGACGAGCAAAATTGCCGGGATAAATCATGAATTCCGGGCGTAGCGGCCAAAGTTTTTGCGTGCCGGCGGTAGATTAAGACTTTCCGCGAACTTTTAGACTCCGGAGGAGGAAGAGATTCTTAATAACGATGCCAGAGTACGATGCATACAAAGGACGATCTGTCTGGAGAATCGCAAGCTCTTCAGAGACCTGGGCGCGCCCGGTAAAATGCTGGCGAGGTACTTGACGTAAGTTCCGTTGTTGCATCTTATCTTCCCAAGAGTTCCCGTCACGTCGCGTTCGACGATGCGAGTCAGTCAACTGGAAAGACTAAAGGAACAACGTGAAATCACAATTTCGCGTTGCGAATAATCGCGCAATTCGGCATGGTTAAATGTTGAAATGCTTTAATTTAGAACTCTTTTTAATGTAAAATTTTCTAATTTAAATGTAAATGCTCAATTAATAACAAATAAGAGAAAAAGCTAGCGCGTCGAATTTGCATAATCTCAGTACGCGGTGAAATATCAATAATAAATTTAATAGTAAATTAATAAATTTAATAGTAAATACTTGATTTATGCGTTCTGAGGATTCAAGGCGCGCGTTCTTCCGCAGGAACGGCATAGAAAAATCGCTGAAGCCATCCTCAGGTTGGGACCGTCTCGTGAGGGACGCGGGAGCAGCGGGAATTCGAGGCGAGGACTGCGACGTGCTTTATAGAGACTGCGACATACCCGTGACGAGGAAGATGCAGCAAGTTTCGGACATAGTCTCGGCAGACGCGAAAAACCGCGATATCTCGGGTTCGAACCGCTAATTGTCGGAAGCGAGGCGCTGCTTCGTCCGCGCGTCTTCGCCTCCGCCTCTCGCGACACACGCCCGAAATGCGAAAATGAAATCTCTTCTGTGGATGATAAAATGATTAACGTGAATGATTTCGGAATCGATATTTTTACTTCCAATGCGAATGAGAATGTAACACGCACTGATTGACCGATAAAACGATGCATCCCCCGTGACACTCCAGGCATGTCGTATCAACGCAACGTCGACTTAGGATCACAACATCGTACGAGTAAAAGGCTCGGCGATATTAATGATTTTTTTAAATTTTAATTACAATATGTGTTTTTTTGTGTTTTATCCGCTACAAACATCGACATCTAGCCTGAACTATTTTAGGTAGCAGTCCGCTATTGTACACACACTTTCTCTCACTGGCACACCCTTTCTCTCTCGTCGTCGGAGTATACATAAGAAAAGAACTATCAAATTGCGAACAGAATGGAACGATCGCGCATTCGGCATTTTATGTGTTGTTAGCTTTCGTTTGTATTCGTCCACTGTGCACTTCCGTGTCTCACTCACTCACTCACTCTCTCATTCTCTCTCTCTCTCTCTTCCTTTCTCCCTTTTTCTCTTGCATTTCGCAGTTTTTTCTTCCTCTTTCCGTCTCAGCTAATCGTCTATAATAATATATTCAATAATGTATTATCGTTAACGTTAAGGCATTAGTCTCCGTTTCATGCATTTTTCATGTGTCTCAGTTTCGATAACGGCGGACACGCAAAAACGAGAAATCGTGATCCCGAAATACGAGTACGCACAGTGGCCTGCAAAAAAAGCAAAGTCAATACATGGAGACGATACGATTTTCCGTTTGAACGATTAACAAAACGGATTTTACCCCGCGGAGATAATTACTTCTTATGCAGGGTATTTACATATAAAATAATTGTACATCTGCTACACCACTTTTCGAGTTCCGGGACGACGTCTCTCTTTCTCTCTTTTTTCTCTCGCTCGCTCTCTTTTTCTTTCTGTCTGTCTCTCTCTTTCTCTCTCTGCGGAACTTGGCGCGCCCACCATAGTAACACGCTAAACGCGTATAAACTTACACTTAATATAGACGTGAGATCGCTCGTTACAATAGTCCAGGCTTAACAAAACACGAAGGAAATGAGAACATATTGCTAGAACCATTTACGCGATTAGTCTGATTTCATTTTGGCAGCGCCGATGACGAACTCTGCTTGCTTTCCTATTCATGCTTTCAAAGAATACAGTTTAATCGTATAATAATGTTGTGTTACAAATATCGCTTGTGGAAATATAAAGTAACATCTCGCGTGTTTCACATTCTCGTAGATTACGTTTCATTGATGTCAATTTACACGTTGTAGATATTTTATACTTTTGTCGTCGAGGTCGCTTCATGTCACATGGATAAAACGTAAAAATTGAAAAAGTCCGCGCATAAAAAAAAAAAAGAAAGCGGAAGGAAGGTAGTATTAGTAATTCACCGCATTTTGGTGTCCGACTTTGATAACGCACCTGTACAACACATACATACATGCGCGCACGCACACATACAGTCGTTCATACATACAAATGCAATTTGCACGTTCTTACATACGCGTTCGCTTGCATACTTTTTTTTAGATTACTATCCTAATTATATTAACCACTTCAATTAAAGGCAGATTAAACGTCCTGCTAAGTGTGGAAATTGTCAATAAATTAGACACATTTGTCGAGGCAACGTAGTTTGCAAGGGCAGGTGGGCAGGCAGTTCACGGAAAATAATCTTCGCAACAGCCACGCGAATTTTGCCGGAGAAACTTTTCGTGACTTGCGCAAACGAAACGTCTCGTTGCGGGTCTCGTTATTAAAAGCTAACTTAACTGTCCCCTTCTCGCGATCGTTTTAACGCGATCGATCGATGCAATGAGGAGATCTAATTCTCCTCAGCTTTGTAAAACCTAGTTTTAGTACAAACTACTTTTTTGTTGTCGAGGTCGCTTTGTAATAATGAAGATGATAATTATAGTATAAACCTTACTCGTCATATTGTACCTTACTCTTCATATATTCGTATTCCGAAAATTCCATCCTCCGATTCGAGAAATCGTAAAAAACAGTCATTTTACGGTCATTTTACGTGCGCACAGAATTATACCAAAAACTTTATACATTTAAAAATACAATACATTATAATTTTTAATTATATCAAATCACTTCCACATAAGAAAATGAAAAAGAAATAAAAATAAATTTCAATAAACGAAAGAATGGAAAATAGGACTAATAAAAAATAGTACTGATTCATCATTAAGAAATAAAATAAAATATTAATTTAATGAAATGAATTTTCATTAATTAATGAAATCATCAAAAATAAAAAAAAATACTAATAATTTGTCAGTATTGACGTTTGTATAAATTTAAAATATATATTGACCAAACTTAGAATATGCCAATAAAAATTAAACAACAAGAGAAAATCTTGAGAAAATAATACAGAGGAATAGAGATGTAACAAATAAAAATTTCAACATCCTTGGTCTATAAGTATTTAGATTGAGACTGTAGTTGTTTTTGATCAACAATTGTAAAAGATAAGTAATTTAATCGAATATGCTGGTTGGGTTCCGTTATAAATCGTTTCTCTCTTTCTTCTCGTTTACGGCAAATAACTTTGGCAAAACAAATAAATTTAAAGCGCAAATGTGCCATGGCGCGCTCACCAACGGGCATGAGTCAATCCGACTATCGATTAATTTTCTCACGTTCGTCCCCGTTAATCAATCGACCGATCGCATGCACATATAACTCTCCACATATACAGTAGAAACCGAATAATATAACAAAAAAGTGATTAGGGTATCGATTAATCGCTTTATCTATTAATCGATACAATAATATTATTAATCATTAATCATATGTACAACATTCTAATGCTATTTGTCCTATCTCATGCTCGGACCGTGACTCGCGCTTGTGTAATATTGAGACAATTGTTCATATAAAACGTATAACGATAAGTATATTTGCGGGAATACCTCTCGCTTCGAGGACGCACGCATACGCGCATGAATGCGTATCAGGACTCGATGACCTTTCTCTTTGCCCGTCGAGGACACCGGTATAAATTCGTTTATAATTTAGCATCGGGACAGCATTTAGATATTATTTAAACGGACGACGAGCTAATAGGTTTGTTTTCTACTGCTGAACTGGCTGCACCAGCTTGCACTAGTTCTCTTTCCCTCCTTTTTTTCACAAAGTTTCAACTGTTTCTTTTTAAATTTCGCAAGTGTACACTAATTCAGCGATAAAAACAGATCTAATAGCAGCGTCTACCACGTTGGCTTATGCGCATCGTATCGTCAAGCGTCTCTTTACGCGCATCATTATCAGTAAGTTTCGTTCCGTACGTACTCCTAGAATACTAGAGTCAAGTCTACTAGTCGTGCGCGAGATCGACGCACTGGAAGAAAGCCGTCTCGTCCTCGTCATCGTGCGCGGACGTCGAGTAAAAAAATATACACCAACCGCGATGAGACGAAGACTATGAGAACGGCATTCTTTCTGTGCGGAGGTCTCTCAGATTGCAGTATTCCTCCCTCGCTCACTAACTCGTTTCACGCTTACGACGAAATTATCCTTCGGCAATGTGGAAGATGGTGGAAATATGAGTCCACGAATCCTCTTTTTCAAGGGAGAAGTTAAATCTTGCGGCAAGAGAGAACTGGTGAAGAGCATTCTTGCCTTCATTACCAATGTATCCTCTTCAAATATTCATATGTCGATGTCGCAACACATCCCAACGGGAAGAGGAAAATCAAGATATTTCACAGTAATCGTGCACAACCTGCGCGTCACTATGGTATCTTTTCCACGTGTAATAACCGTCGCGGCGCGATGTACAAGGAGTAGCGAAGGCAAACGCTGCTTACCATATTCCTAGGTTTATGTGTTTGTTTGGAGGGAAGAGAGGATGGAATGGTGGAATCAAAGATATAAACATCTCCGTAAAACATATGAAACATTTCCATAAAAAAAATTTGATTTCATACACAGGAAAAAAGGAGATTTTGTTTGGAAAATATCTTTTTTTTCATATGTTAATCTTCAAATGAGATTGCCTTAAATGAAGATAAGTTACTTGCAGCAATATATATATTCAGTTCAACAAATAATTGTTTAAATTCAAAATTATACAATTCCTCTGTCAAACTTTTATATTGGTGTTTATATATGAAACAATGATTATTAATTTGAATATATTAGTTTTAAGTAGATATGAGAACTTGGGACATAACATGCACTTAAAAACATTCTAATGTATGCTTTTCATTAACGAAAATTATTTTTGAATAATAAGAACACAAGGTTTTCTTCGTGTCATATAAAATGTTCTTGCAAGTAACTTCTTTCACACTATATAGTCTCTTTGAAAAATTAAAGATAGAAATATTTTCTAAACAAGAATGTTTTTTTCTGTATACTTATAATAAAATATTTATAGAAATGCACAATTACTCGACTGAATTGCCAATGAATCTTCCATCCAAATATTCACATGTCAAAGTAGAACTCCTTCAACGAGAAAAAGATCGAGAATTTGACTTTTCTTGCAGCGAAATTGCGTAATCATAATACTACGTTTTCTCCACGTCTTTCCCCATGTGTAATAACAGTAGTAAAAGGAGTAGCGAAGGTAAATGCCTCTGATAGACCAATGTATAAGAGTGAAGAGAGAAAGTATATCGGGAGCGTGAGCGTTTTGCTGGCCCGGGAATCGAAACCGGGGAGACTATATGCTGACAACATAGGCATCTACTCTATTAATTAATTTAACCAAGCTTTGTGCCGCGACACGTCTTTCTCTCGCTCTCTCTTATCAATGGTCTTATTGTCGAAAAGGTATTCCTTCAATTGAATTGCTGACAGTTCGATTATAGATCTTACACCACATTCCCACGCGTGTATGTGTGTGTATATTTGTATGTCTGGGCGTATGTGATACGCGTACTGAAGACGGCGGAGAGCCGCGCAACCAGAGCCCCCGAGTGCGAGATCGTGCGTGCTATTGACTGGTACGGGTGCGGTTGTAATTCGTACGGCTGCGTCGCTGCGCGCGGATCACCTCGCCAAAGAGGACTCGTCGTTGGCGAGCGGGCCGGCGAACGAGCAGCGCCGGCTCGTCCGAACGGAAATGATGATAGAGAGACTGACGACCGAGGAAGAAGATGGTCGGCGAAGACGCGAAAGCAAACACGACTTACGTCCGACGAGGCTTAGGGCAAACAGCGGCCCGACGCGATATACCACGCGATTGACAAGAAGACAAAGAACGCATAATAGATGCACGTGAGACGACCCGACCGCTCCGTTATCCTTTCTCCAGATACCGCGATATCGAATTGACTTGTCGCGAATTCACTCGTCCTACGTCGTTCACGAACACACGCCGGGCCGATAAATAGGCTACGAACGATTGGCGACAATTTGGAAGACGCGATACGATCCAAGTTCCGGACGAGCTCAAGCCGGAGGTGTGAACAACGATGCGTGGGTATTGGAGAAAATGAGGATCGGGGTGACTTCGAATCGCGTTAAGCTAGCGCGTTAAAAAAGCAAAGCAACACCGAGAATGGAGGCCTGACGATACACGATGATCGTATTGAAAATAGATGAAAATGATGTATATTTCTCTTTCTCTCTCTCTCGCTCACGCTCTTTCTCTCACTCTATCTTTCGCTCTCTCGTATTAGGTTTGCATATTTCGCGATTTACAGATACAATCGTCGTCCTCGATACATAGTTATACGTCATTAAACATTATTATTATCAATATACGTATGTACAAATCGACATCGCCGACATGATCAGCGGCATTATCTTTAACCTAAGCGACAAACGTAAGAGTAAAGAGGGATTATTTAGGGACCAGTCGCAAGAATTGTCATGCTAATAGTATAATAGTTACACGCCCGGTATAATCAGCATCATTATTCATCATCGCTCATCGTCGTCGTCATTGTAATAATAATCCTCGTCTTTTCTTCGCTACTTTTTTTTCTCTTTCTCTCTTGTCGCTCTTGCTATCTTTTTTTTATTGTTACTAACATGGCCCTCCCTGACAGTTTTAATTCGTGTTTGGAATAATTTCTGCCAATGCCCGTCTTAAAAGTCGTTTTCTCCTAAAACGTTAAGAGACACAATTCATTTATTCCTTAAAATTTACTTACATGAGGTACATAATTTTTATCGAATAGTTTCATCCCTTTTCTTCTGCTTCCATTGCTCCTCGTTATTAATTAATTTATTAGGCTCACATTAATACCGGATACGCTCGAGTTCGGTTTCACGTGACTAACTTATTTCTCCGTCGTTTGTTAACGCATTCTTCACTCGATCTCTTCATCACGCAAAATTCCCCCCTCTTAGTTGTATACTTTTCGTGCGTTCATGCATTGAAGCTCGGCTGTGAAGTCTACGTTTCTCTTTGTAGCGAGAGAAGAATTATGGCAGGGCTAACCTTTGTACCTCTGCATCTCTCAGCAACTCTTACCGTTTTCCTATCTGCCTTTTATATCCATCACGCACTACTACATTTTATTAGACCTAGTATACTTAGAAAATACTTAAAAAATGAGTTTCTATTGGAAGGTGGCTGCCCGATCTGCGTTGGCTTCCATCACTGTACACACTTCTGTCGCAAATTCAATTAATCGTTCCATTCAACAACAATCTTCTACTCTTCCCAGTTAAACAAATCTTCTATTTCTCGTTGGTCGCTGGTATATCATGGAAATCTTCTGCGCGTGTTTCTCCCATTGTCTTATTTGCTCTAATTCTTCGTCTTATTTGCTTGGATTCTTCGTCTTTTCTGTCGTCGTTTATTACTTCATCTTATCCCGCCGCACCACTATGATGAATGTGTTAGCTACGGCTGAACTACAGCAAACCCGCTATTCACTGTCGATCAACTGTCGGTTGTAAGCGACATGCTCGTATCAGCCTGCAGGCTCGATTAAGTCTAACTTTTTTACTGGCCAACTGAGAAGCGCTGTAGGTCTTTCATATTCTCTCGCGTAGCTCCTTGCTTTCCTTCGTCGACCACGCGTCTCCAGAGTCTCATTCGCGCAAATTATAAAACTATTTCCTCGTTGAATTACCTTATATTGCATATCGTATCATCGTCTCATTCGTTCATCAAGCAATAAAAAAAGTATTAATAAAAGTATGTGTGCCTTCTCTAAATCTCTAACAACAATACGCCCTATCTCGGCGCAATTATTCAAAAAGAATCAACAATATTAAATTATAAATCGTCAATACCATAATATAGAGCGATTGTCAATATAAGCCGACAATAAAAAGGAAGGCAATAAAAATCATTGCCTTCCTTTTCGATTTTATTTCGAATGCTCTAACGTTTTCGTTTAATTTCTAAATGAGTATGATACATATGATAAGAAATACTAAAATCACGTAAATTAACTAAATTCACCCCATTCAAAATCACACGGTAAAACGATTGTAAAGAAGCTTTGTTAGAATTATGATTTATCGAGCGAATCACGTTGTCGCCATCGAGTCAAGCTCGTGGACGATGATAACGACGATAAATACTGCGGTCGTCGCGACCTATCCCAATATGGTCGCCACGAGTCGTTATCGGTACGGTATCTCGACGCCGTTCTCTCGGCGTGCCTTCTCGAAGTGCCAGTATACGTCTCAATGCGTCGTCGCATCACGCGTGTCAGTCTGTTGATCATCGGACGCTTTATTAACGGAGACGCGCGGCTAAGGGGCTGCTGTGCTCGGTAGCATGCGAGGGTGGATAGCGGGCGGTCACCTGTGCGTCGTAGTGCCAACAACGTTGTAGCGCGGTGATGTTCGGATTCGTATTCGACGGTGATAAGAGATTCACTCGGTGGTTACCTTCGGTCGCGATAAAGTAGATAAGTCTTCATCGCTTGTGGCAGATTCAGGTCGTTGATCTTCTCCTCCAATTTCTGCTTACCAATTCTCTGTCGGATTACTCTTCGACAAAGATCCATCAGCGGCAACGGTTCGGCTGCGGAAAGGACGAGCATGGTTTAGTTAAGAGGAAATGAGATAGCGCGTTCTTAGATCAAAGTGCTACATACGATCAAGTCCGCCGATATATCTCATTGTGATCTCGCAATGTCCCCAAACGGCTGACACAATTGGATGCAACTTTCTTCCTTTGAGTCCTCTGAAGGCTATGCCAAGGTACTGACCATCCACTACGAACGCTAACGTACCTTCATCCATATCGAGGACCACTGTGAACAGATTGAGTGTAGTGAGTTGCCGCTCTTGAAGAGGATCTTCCTCTAATACACAGAATGAGCACGAATTCGACGAATTTCCTCGACATCTCGATCATTTATTAAAATACACCGACACGTAACGGCTTATGTGACTCACTCCGTACACCGTGCACTCACCCAAGAATTTGTCAGGAACAATAAAGGTCTCATCCGGCTTCAGGAGGGCCGGATACGTCACGCCGTTGTTATTCTTCGAGTCATGGTAGAGTTTGTTTCTACCAAGGTCCCATCCCCAACTGAGCTCATTGTTACCAACTAGACTCTGATAACCGACACTGTGAAGCGGTGCGTCCGCCGTTGCGACACCCACTACGGCATGAGTGCCTCGCTGCCTCGTGCTCCAAGTTAGTTCCCATACGTGCATGCCCTTGGTGTATCCTACCTTCCCTCGTATGCAGTCTGTACTTTGCGCGACTGGGTGTCGGTGAAACGTTAACTTGTCGTCTTCCTGAAAGCAGTGACAGAAGAAAAATTGTCAGTATACCTCTCGTATTCGTAAGATAACGATAGGCGCGTGTACTAAGTCGTTACCTTGACGAATATGTTGAGGCTACGATCGTCGGCGTTCCAACTGTGATGGACTTGTGTTTCTCGCGAAGCGGGAGGCATGTCGAGTAGTACATCCAATCGAGCCGGTCTCGAGAAATCCTGTGATAACTCACGCGGCACAACTGATTTATACATCATTGTACCGCCAGCACCGACACCTACTCCGGTACCTGCTCCGGCTCCGCTCTCGCGCGCCACGCTCTTCACGCCGCCTGCAAGAAAAAGAGACAGAACGGTTAGATAAGGTTCCTCCACGATTTCCACGTTCGTTTGTTGAACATGCTTCTCGTGACGAACGAGTCTTAAAATTAGGGCTCCTGCTTCAATCTGTTTTTCGAATACATATTTAAACGTTTAGCGTACATCCGTTTAGAAACATCTGATGGAAAACGTTTAGAAATGTTTCATCATTTAAATGGATTCTCTGCAATACACGCTCTCTAAAGTACAATCAGTGTATTCTCTACTGCTAAATGCAAATTTATAACTGATAGTTCAGCATAACTACAATCAGTAAAATCTCGTTGAAAGAATCAATTGACAGTAGCGACTGTTTCTATTATTGATGCAGTTTGCAAACACAGAGACAGTATCGTTACACCTAAATTACATAGAAGCTAGCAATTCCATCGTCAAATCTAAAAAGTTATATTTGACACGTATAATGAATACGCAGCAATCTTACTTCCACTGGTCGAAATTAGTGCGGTATAAGATGGAGCAATAAAGTGGAAGTGTTTTTATTGGAATTAAATGAATATTTACCGATTATCGCTGAAATGTTCCTTTTATTAGTTTAATCAGAAATATTTTTATTGATTCACTTTAAGAGAGTATACATGTGATATCATTGCAGATTGTTTTTTTAGCTTGCACGATTGTCAGATAAGGCTAATGACTCTTGTTTAAAGACGTATAGATGCATATACGAATAAACAGAGATTAGTAAACGGATACACTGTAATCGCGATTGATTTATTATGCATATTTATAAACATATGTGCTAAATGTATGTTTAAACGTGTAATATAGAGCTCTAATCTTAACGTACACAATTTATGTATCGTAGATTCCTCTTTCCGAGCGATATCATTGCGATTTTCGCAATAGAAAGGAAATGTGGGGAATGACGGTCTCTGCGACTCGCGGCACTAAATTTTACAGAACTCCCGAGTTTGGACGAGAACGAAACTCAACGAAATGTCGAGGATGTGAGGTTTTTTTTAAATAAGAAACGTTTGAATCACTTATTGAGTCGAAAATCAATTGGATACTTCAAGAAAAATGCTTCAATGATGCGCGATGATCAACACTGTCGCCAAACAAGGAAAACTTACACTTCAGTATAAATGTCCGTAAGATAATATTGTTGGATATTCAACAATGCTATGAATAGAGGAGCAGATTTGGAATGTAAATATTTATTGTCTCTGTAGTATTCAACTAAGGTAAAAGAAAATAGAACGATAGGAAACTAACTTGATCGCGAGATATTAAATGCGATAATTTGTACCAATAGCGAGAAGACAAATTCGAAATCGTAACGTGCATTTGCTGTAGCTGACTTTTTCGGACTGTCGACGTTCGCGGAACATTAGTTAGTAACCAAATGTACCGCGTTTAGTTGACCGTATTCCCAAATTTTAAAAATAATTTTATCCTACTTCCTCCAAATTTATTGAAGTAAATTTGTAGCTTTACGGGAATTATTTCGGACGAATCTGAATCTATCAACGCACGAATTCGATCATTGAAAGATTTCGATAACATTCAATGCAACAATATCCTAGTAACATATATGAGTTCCACATATTTTTTCTAAACGTATTTAACATTTCGCAATAGTTTGTAAAACGTTTCTAAACGACGTGTGCTATTTGAGCAATACACATGAACGGAAATCTTTAAAACTTTCCGCAGACAAAATGATGAAAATGTAAATTGTATGGTGTATATATAAGTTTGGTAAAATGAGTCGATATATTGGGTACACGTGGGCGACGTGCGGAAAAAAACGGAATAATATGAGCAAAGAAAATATCTCAAGGCCAAAAAACAAAGTAGAAAATGCGGCAGGTCAAAAGTTTTAATTCGTAAAAAAGTTTTCTGCTTGAAGTAGGTATAAATGGCTACAAATGTAAAAATGGCACAATGTAAAAATCTATTATAGTGTCATCGTTTTCTAAACAAAATAAGTTCTATTCTATGTGTTTCTTCGGTTGGTTAGGTTATTATAAAAGCATTGTGTGAATGTGAGGTTTTATATCTTCTTTTTAAAAAGAATCTTAATCTTTGTGGGATAGTTTGGTTTAGTATCAATGAATTCTCATAGTCCAAAGAAAAAAACAGGTATAAAATTAATATATAGACCGCTATTTTTTGTCGAGAAGAATAGCCAAAAATAAAGATTCCGATGACAAAAGTTTTGAAAAAAACTGTTCTCTCATATATCTGCTTTTGATCTATCAAACAGTCGACTAGGAGTAGCTTATTCAGTTCAGCTTACCTGAACTGAAATTCATTCTTTTAGTTTTGCAACATCCATATTTTCAGGTTATTATAGATGAATATAGTAGGATAGAGGAGATCGAGTCTAGCACTCATATGGATCAATTGTCACAAGGCTTATGTCTTATGTAATATACAAATAGAGAAGAATATTCAATTCTTAGTACATGTTGCTTACTCATTTACCTAAAGTTATGTCTATATGAAAATATGCACACAATATTAAAAATATTGCATACATATTTTTTTAATCAGTATATAAAGAGTGTGATCCGGTCTCCCTTACTTATCGTTATCTCTGTCATCAATCATTATATTTGTCATCGATCATGTCAAGAACAATTAGAATTTTCGTGGAATACACGGATTAAGTACTAAGAGATAACTGTAATTCTGCGTGTTAAGGGACAAGTGTTGAGGGAAGTTGAAGAAAAACTTCAAAAGTTTGGAGCCATTTAGTAACGGCGACAATTGTCTTCTGTGGGAATTTTTCACGGACTCAGGACGGACTCGTGAGCCCCGTAATGAGAATCGTTGCACGCGGTATGCAATTAGCCGTTGCGGTCATTAACTCGCCGCAAACCGCCAAACCTCGGCGATGTAACTCGATGAGTATACGAAAACAGTTAGAGATGAGCTCTATTCGGAGCGTTTCGCAATGAGTTTCGACCTCAGCGAGGCTTTTCTATCTCTCGTTTGTCACTTTCGTATGTTATAGTGCACGTTATAGTGTGAAGTCACGTTTAGTAAGTCGGTGACGATACCCGGCGGCAGACGCGAGCTTCTTACGAAACCGGATGGAGCCGTTGAAGAAAAATAAATTCGTCGAGCGTGAGCTCGTAACTGCTCTCTGAGCGGTAAAAGCCGCATTAAACGCGGCAAGTCTCGTTGATGAAGTCATCATTCCTGTTGAAGGAAAACGACTCGACAAAATCACGGAAAATTATCCATTATCAACCAAACCATTTGATAGCATTTAGTCCGTACGGACGTTCTCCAATTTTTCAACTATTGACCTTTGTTTTTTTTAACTTCAAGTGTTTCCTCATCACTACGTAGGAATGTTGAATAAGATGATCGTTATTATTCGAGATACTTCAAAGGAACATGGTTAAATATTTGTTCAGGACGAATGTTCGGAAATTATGGCTGAAACGAATAAGCCGGCGGGCATAAGAATTTTCGAAATATATATAGGCACTTATATATACAGGTCAGTACGACGGGTTGCTTATGCATTCTATGAGCAGTGTAGTCGTGTGCGGTCTCAACAGAATTTGGCAGAATGCTCGGTTGGAACTTAAACTTTATAGGAAAAAAAATATGCTGACAATTCCGACTATTCAGGTAGTAAAAATTCATAGCATTAAAGCATTAATAAGGAAAGATGTGATATAAAGAATATGCTGATATCCTAAAAAAGCAGAATAAGAGGTCGTGATGAGGAAGACTCAGATACAAAATATCATTAACTAAACATTTGGGAAAGTTACAAGCTCTCGAAATCACGTAGAACGACCCAAAACTTATGTCAAGATATGTTGACCATCTGAAGAACTGAGAAAAATGAATGTAAAGTCAGTAAAAAAAGGTGCGGTCAAAAATTTTTACTTGGCATTTTTACTTGACCGTGCAACATGAGATGCTTTGTGAAGAACTAATTTAATGCGGAAAACTTCTTATGACGTATTTATTTACAGGTAGATTCTGCATGCGATACGTCACACGGTATTTGAATGTCTACCAAGGAGGCGAGACGAACGATTTGTAAAGTCACGCGTTTCAAGTCACGGTAGTAAAAACCGTTAGCACCATTGACCATTTTCCAATCGACCATAGATGCATGGAAAAAACAATTCTTCTGATGCAACCGAATTTTCGGCTACTCAGGGATCAGACGAAAACTCGGTTGTAGGCTGAACAGACAAATTCCTTTATGAGGCTTCTGTATAGTCAATTGTTCTCAATTGCCTCAACCGAATTCTAATATCGTTGAATATTCAGACAACTATTTTTGGTTGCAACAACAGAAATATTAGTTTTCATAACAGAGATATCGCTTCTGATCACCTAATTTTCAGTTGGTTTCTATTTGGTTGCACCAACTGAAATTTTTTTTGCGTGTGACTATCTTGCTCTCTGTATTTCTTGGAATGAAATTTTACTCGAAAAATAGGATGACCATCGAGTCACTTGACTTCGTCTAATTTTTCATTCATATAGAATGAATTCTTCACTCTGAATCGTCGCGTGAATATCTTCACTCGAAATCGAAAAGTGAGTCTAAAGTACTTCACTGTCATAGGAATATATTCACTTTAATCCATTGCAATATTCGTTCATGTGGTATCAGAATTCATTCTGAGCTTGAGTGAAATATGCACCCTTGCGATTTCGAGTGGCAGTGTTTGCACTATCGTTTCGAGTGAAAATAACGCCGCTTTTTATTTTGAGTGAGATTCCACTCCAAAAAACTTGGCTAGTTCGATCCTACGGCCAAGGAGACGGGATCCCCTTGTATCGCGATCTTGCTGTGCGACGCCCGACTCAGTTATGTACGTAGTTTTGGCGTCTGACCTGAAATTTTTTGGCCCATGTTCATGCCCCGATGGGAGCGACTTGGGTGACGGTAGTTATTGTGTGAGTGACGATGGTCGGCACACTGCTTGCCGCTCTGCAACTTGTGCCTCTGATGCCTCGTGCCCCCGGTGGTGGTGGTGGTCGTGGTAGTCGTGGTGGTAGAATGATGATGATGGGGGTGGTGGTGATGGTGGTGGTGCGGGTGATGGCCGGTAGTCGGTGGTGCAGTAGGCACCACGCCACTGTCTGTTACTCCTACTCCCCCGCCGCCTCCTCCTCCGCCGCCGCCGCCCCCGCCGCCGCCGGTGCCGCCGCTGCCCCTACCGGGGCTACCACCGCCCCCGCCGCCGCGACCGCCGCCTCCAGTACCTAAACTGCCCCCGGTACCGCCAGTCGCACCGTTTCCGCGGCTACCGCCCCCGCTCACGCAACGATTCGATTTGTACCTGCAATGCGAGAACAGAACGGGAGCACGTTAATTCGTGTGCGTTCTTTCTGTGGGAGTGAATGAGAGAAAAAGATACAGAAACATAGAGAGATGGAAAAAGGGTGGGAGAGAGAGAGGGGAGAAGGGAGGAGTAAACAGGATAGAGAGGCAGAGATCAGACCGAATCGATATACGAGGAAGGGGGAAAGTGATTTCAGTCGGGGGTGGTTTTCACGGTCGACGAATCCGCGAGAGTGCGTTGTGTTAAACATTCGGGGATGCACCGTTGGGGTATGCGAATGTCGTTCCGCTCGATTTTCGGAGGAATCAGGATTAATAGGTTTGAATTTCGCAAAATTCTGAAATATACGATGAGCAAGCGTTTTATCTTGTTAACAGGTTCCGTGATAAATCACCTCGTTGCATTGATATGTAAAGTATACCTTATAACATTTGTAAAATTTCAGAAGAAATCTCTTATTAAGATGAAAGGGTAATGCAAAGTTTATACCATGAAACGAGACAAATACACACACACATATACAAAGTATATCTTATAACATTTGTAAAATTTCAGAAGAAATCTTTCTTATTAAGATGAAAAGGTAATGCAAAGTTTATACCATGAAACGAGACAAATATATATACACACACACACACACACACACATATATATATACACACGTATACATATATACATTTTGTTTCAACAATTTGTGATAAACGCGAGTAGAAAGTCACGTAAACTCGGCGCGGCACGGAGCGTGTTAACATTATGCACGGTAATTAATTGGAAGATACGAGAGAGATACTGTGAAAATATAAAGAGACACAGGGAAGGAAAAAAGAAAAAGTAGAGCGTTAGATAAACACAGGAGGGCCGTCAGGCGTGTCTCGGGTCATACAATAATTTCATTTGTGCTCCATATCGCGCAGCGAGGATCATCGCGCGTACTGACTTGCTCCTGACTGTTCCGGTCGGTAACGAGATTACATCGTGCCATACGCAGAGCCGAGGTCCTGGCTGCTAACGGTGAATTTTCGCGCGGAAAATCATTTCGACAGCTACACGTTTCCGGACCCGGATAATTCGAGAGGTACGCGCCTCGCCTGCGGCTTCAGAAAAAAGCACGTCCGAGCGAGGCTCGATTAATCACGTTTTCCTATTTGCCGGGCTTTACAGGACGGATTGCTAGTGTACATAGCATGGCGGGCGTGGGACGAATTGCGGGAACCGATTAATTCCTTCTAGCGGAGCAAGTGCATGCGAAGTAGCATTTTCATCGCGAACCCGCAATTTCCGTTCCGCTCTCCCCGTTGGTTTCCGTGTCGCGATTGCTCATACTGAATTTTCCCCACGTGTATCGCAAGGAAATCCGTGAGTAGTAGTAAAGTCAATCGCATTAAAATCAATTATCTTAACGCCTACGACTGAACTGTGATAACCTAATCATCGTTCGTTCCGTCACGCGACTGAAATGCAGACGAGCATTAAATTAAAAATTAAAATGCTTTTCTTTGCGTGCGTATTTCTGTTTAATATGCAAGGACTCCTTTTATTTGGTTCGCGACAGATTGACGTAAAGAAGCACCGAGCAAAGTCGGTAAAACCGAGAGAAAGAGAGTAATCAGGAAGGTTATATTTCTTGCTGTTGGTCAAAAACTGAGTCACTGAAATTATGCGTAACATCACGCACACGAAACGGGCGTGAGCAGAAGAACTCAGCGGCTTTATGTACCGCGAATGACCGCATTTTGTTGACGATAAAGAATTATGCCCTATCACGCACGTCGAGACGCAGTGTGCCGTGTAAAGCGCAGGGATTCCTTGAGATTCGTTCTCATTAAACGTGTTTTTTTCATCTTTTGAAACATGAAGAACTGGCGTGGCTGATTAAACGACCGAATCGTTTGTGGCTCAAAAATGGAACAGGTGGAAATATTGAGACGCACAAATGGTCTCATTTCATGTGATCTAACCTGATCCCAATTAGTTCGCACTCTCGAGATGTTCAAATTCACTTTGTTTTGCAAGCTCGGAAAAATATTACTTACGTGACTGTCAGAGTGAGCGGCTGAAACGCGAGGAATCTCTTTACGTTTTGTGGTTATCCGAATGTGTGCCGCGAGAGATTATCTAATCTTCAAATTAATGGAAATCGTCATCACGGAGCGTGACAAAAGTGCAATTAACGTAAAAGCGCAAGTTCACGAGCACGTAAATATATCGAGATTATGACAGCGGCTTTCTTGGCAGAAATATGGGACACGACACGCCAGGAAAGGCAACGCCAGCTGTGTGCATGATTATAATTTCTCGTCCGCTCGGAGAGGAAAAAAGAAAGAGAAGGAAGGAAAGAAAGAAAGAGAGAAAGAAAACGAGAATCGCGAGGAACAAATGAAGAATAGCGGTGCGGACTCAAACGTGATAACAAATAAAGTTGTGTGTGTATGTGTGTATGTTTGTGCAAGTATGCGTATGCGCCAGGAACGTAACAGATGTAATTTATGACGCGATTAATTAGGAATCCGTTCCAAAGTAAAGTGTAAAATTCACGCCCGGAGGAATGGAAGAAAAGATATCAGATAGAAATTAGATTCACACAAAGAAGGTTGATATACGCTAGCCCTAGCTAACAGAATGCACACAAACATACACACAAACCCTGTGTTTTCCTCTTTTTTTTTTAGGAATTTGCTTAAATGTGTCCTAATTGCACTTTCAGACTACACTGAGGGAAAAACTATCTTAAAGTCAACAGATATTTCCTTGATGGGTGCCATTAACATATTTATTTAAATCTAAATTCTCTTTAAGTCAAATATTGTTTACCTGATTTAATTAAACAATATTTGGTTTAAATAAAAAGAATTTAGATTTATATAAATAAATATGTTAACGGCACCCATCAAAGAATATTTGTAATATTTGTTGACTTTAAGGTAATTTTTCCCTCAGTGTACTGTCAGGTCAGCCGCGCGCGCGAGAAATTCCTGTAATTCAATTAAATGTTTGATATAGCACGAGACTTGGTACTTTAATGCCGCGAGAACAAAGATAAAGATAGAACAGTTTGCAGCACGGTGGTGGATGATTACGTCGCAAGATGTGCAATGCAAAATGGGGATTAATCGTCGGCAAGTCGATTTTGTAGCACAACTGTCGCGTCTCTAGCCTGTGACACAACGCGCGGCGTATGCTCGCTGAAACTCGATCGTTTGTCGTATCCGTTCGCCGCCGTGTTGACTTCCGGTCGCGGACACCGGACATTGGCATCCTGGATCCGGCCGATTCGGTTTCACTCGCGATAATCGGCACCAGGAAAAAGGAACCCGCGCTGCGGAAATTCGTCCAGGGATTTCCATCGGCGCGCGGGAAAGAACGGGGAATTTGTACATTAATTATGGCTACGCGAGCGTGGATAAATGCACACACGCTGATTATTTGGCCTCTCTCGACTCGTTAATTTGCATCAATTAATTGCGCAGAAGGGAGCGCGAATAAAATTCCGCGACGGGCTCTCCCGCGGGGCCGAATTCCCGCGTTCGCGTTGATTCGCGCGACGCGCTCTCTTTCGCGCGATTCGACAACACGGCGGGCGAGCGATGACTGTACTCGTACATCGACGACAGGGAGCCGCGATGTGCCGCCAGACGCGGCTCGCGGAAACTTTCGGTCGGTTAATCGTTGTTGTTTGTTAACGAGGTCGTCAAGTGGGTCGCCCGCTGGTGTTTCTCCATAAATTCGTTTCGCCTCGCCGACGGCCGTTTACCCGTCGGAACTTTCAGCGCGGAGTTTCGCGACGGCAAATTAGGTTCGCGTCTTGCTCGAAAGAAGGAACCCCGCGAGAGGTGTTGCAAAAACAAGCGGCAACTTTGCCGAGTGTGGTCCTCGGGGAACTCGCCGTCTAATTCGCAAACATCCAGACGGAGATCTTGGGTGCATCTCGCCATCTGCATCTTGGGTTGTCTCTATTGCTTCATGAATAATTCGCAATTTTTTCTAAATGATTAATTTTGCTAAAGGATCTTTTGTGACTTTTATCGTGTGCAAAAAATCTGCAGCAACAAATCGCTGAATATTTAATAAGGAGATGATTCTGACGTCATCGCTTTATTAAGTGTGTAAGTTTCACACTGCTTCGAGAATTAGAAGTGCAATTTATTATTTCACGGAATTTATTTACTTGAGTTCGAGGAAAATATCGAAAGATTGAAGATAGATCAGGAATTATTAAGAGGTGCGTAAGATATTAAAAATAAACTTGTCTTGCGTGAGGTGCTCATATGTGAATTTAGAGTTGGATTTGAGTTTTTTATCTAAATCATATAATATATGCGACATTAAACTTGTAATCGCAATTCATGTAAAATGTACGTCTAACTTTAAATCTAACGCAAATTTGATTGTCTCAACTAAATAAATATCAAGTAACGATTATTAATACGGATCGTAAAGATATTCGACGATACAAGCTTTGTTTGTTTCGTCCAAATACGCCTGATGAAACGTGGCACAACTTTAATAATAATTTGCGGCACATAGCATCGTTTTGATCGCTTGAATCTCGCGGTTCTTTCGTGTCAAGTGCGCGGTATCCATTGGAAAAGAGACGCTCGTCAAGCCGATACTATCGATAACAGCGAGAAAGCATTCTTGCGAAGTCGAGCGCTCACTGTAGTACACACATACAACTCCGTGTCGGGATACTCCTTTCCAAATAATTGTGAAACATTCATAATTAATCATCGCTACGGCAAATGAATAAACCATTACGATTGTTGCCGGGCAGGAAACGCGGTCGAGAAACCGCGAATTTAATTTCCCGCCGCGCGGGAAGCAAATGAGTAAGATGCCCTTTGAGCCGAGCCGTTCGTGGCAGTCGTCACGGTGCTGACCGCCGAGCATTTCATTTGAAGTCCATTAATGACATTTATCTCCGTTAACCGCGGCCGTCGACGGTGTCGGGAGTGATATCGCCTTGAATCAAGCGGAGGAGAGAAAGTCTCGGACCGTCC